GCAGCCTCCGCCCCGCTTCCTACTTCGCGGGCTCTGGGGACTGGGGTCGCTGTCCTCGTCTCCGGGGGTGGTCTTCCTTGCTTGCCCCACACGGAAGGTAGGCCACCTTGGATTAACGGGGAGGGGGTCCAGCTCCTGGGGTGTCCAGGCTCCCATTTTGCCATCGGAGAACCTGTGGTCCTTGGGACCACCCTGCCCCATCCCAGCTTCTTGCGTGGCCCCACCCAAGTTTAGGAAAAATTGGGGCGGAGCAAGATCGCCCGGCACCTCCCACAAGCCAGCGTGGTGGTGGTGCGCAGTCCGCAGAGACGACCCAACTCCGGTCCCTCCAGGCCATCTGTCCTCTTTTGCACGTGGACAGAGTCCTTGCTACCTACAGAGTCCCCCTCGTGTCTGCTCCACTCAGTAGTAACCCTCCCTCTTCTCGAGCCTCGTTCTAATCCCAGCGCTGGGTGGGCAGTGGGAGCCTCTTGTCAGTCCAAACCCTCATTTGGGTGGAAGCTGGTTATTAGGGAAAGAAAAGTGTGGTAAGTCCTTCCTCCCAGACCCTAAGGGTGGAGCAGGCAAGGGCAGGGTCGCACGGTGAGCGCTGGGAGGAAGAAGCAAGCTCCCAAGGGAGGTTTGTCAGTGGAGTTGGAGAGTTGGTGTTCCTAGGACCGAGGAGGAAGCTGACGCTCGCTTCCAGCCCAGGGCGGGCAGCAGTTCCTTCTGCTACATTGGCTCCGTCCTTCTGAGCACAGGAATCTCATTGCAGTCCCCTTTCCCACTCACTTGCCCAGTAAATATGGACTGACACGTTTGTGCCGTGCGCTGTGCTGGCTCCTGGGAATATGCTGGAGGGTGTAAGAGTTTCAAGTCTAGTCGGGAAGTCAGATTAGAGACTCACTATAAGACTGTTCAAATAAACATACAATTCCAATTGAATAGACAGTTACTGGCCATCAACTATGCGTGCCAAGGATAGGAAACAAACATGGATAAGACAGGGTGTACCCAGGGCAAGGGGACCCGGAGGAAGGCATAGCTAACTGTGTGTGTTTGTATATATCGGGGCATATATGGGGTGATGGTCAGAGAAGTGGGGGCATTACAGCTGAGTTTGGGAGTACAAAAAGTAGGAGAAGGAAGAACTTGGAGGAAGAGGCAGGATATTGGAGGACAAAGGAATAGTGTGAGAATAATGGTGTGTTTTGGGATCTCTGAATGGTGTGGGGCAGTGATGGAAGGAAGCACCGGAAGAGTAGATCAAGCAAGGTTTAGTAAGCCATGCAGAAGCTTTTTTCTTTTCTTCGTCCTCCTCCTCCTCCTTCTTTTGGTGCAGTGCTAGGAATTGAGCACAGAGAGCACTGAGCTATATCCCCACCCATTTTTATTTTTAATTTTATTTTGAGACAAGTTCTTACTAAATTGTCCAGGCTGGGTGTGATCCTTCTGCCTCAGCCTCCCAACTAGCTGAGCTTATAAGTGTGTATCACTACGCCCAGCTGCATGTAGAGGCTTAACAGTTTAGGGTCAGTACTCAGAGCTGTGACAAATGAGATTTATACTTTTAACTGGAGGTAGATTAGTGAAAAGGCTGTGGCAATGATCCAGGTAAGAAATAGTCTGAACCGTGTGAAAGGGAAGAGGAAAAATTGCCTGAATTTCGTGACCAGTGATATAGGGCGAAGAAAGAGAGTGGTCAGGGCAGGGTTACTCCTAGGCATCTGCTGGAATAGAGAGCAGAGGCCTGTTGCTGAGGACACTAGTGGGAGAGTTGGTTTGGATGGGTAGAATTTGAGGAGCCTGCAGTTGGTGGCAGGGTTGGACGACAGTTAGATCTGGGCTAGAGACAGATCTGAGTCACCGACATATGTTCCTGCAGCTACAGTAGAGAATGAGGTCATCTGGGGACAGGTTTGTGGAGTGAGAAGACGGCCTTCCTGAGAGGGTTGAGGAAGAACCTGATTCAGGAGACTGAAAATGAATGGTCAGAAAGGAGGAAAGCCATGAAGGGAAAAGTTCCCAGGGTCAGAAAAAAGGACTGACCTGCAGCTAGGTTGCCACAGCTTCAGGCCAGCCCATCTGTCTTGTGGTGACTCATTCTTTGGCTTCCCCTTCACAGGCCAGATGTTCGCCATCCCGCCAGGGCTGTCTGGGGGAGGCCAGTTTCCTGGCGGCGTGCCTCCTGGAGTATGTCAGCCCGAACTCCAACCAGACAGCAACTCCAACTTCACGGAGGGTGCCAAGGATGCCAATGAGAATTGGCATGGAATGCCAGGCAAAGTGGAACCCATCCTGACAAGGAGCTCCTCTGAGTCACTCTCTGACAACCAGGCCGGACTCTCGGAGGGAGTGGTCCGCAGCCCCCCAGAGGGTGCAGAGATTCCTGGCACCGAGCCTGACAAGAACGATGATGCCATCACTGTCTGCTCCCCTCTGGAGGACAATGGGTATGCCAGCAGCTCGCTGAGCATTGACAGCACTAGCAGCAGTCCTGAGCCTGCCTGTGGGACCCCTCCAAGTCCTGGCCCTCCAGATCCTCTTCTACCCTCAGTAGCCCAGGCTGTGCAGCACCTGCAGGCCCAGGAGCGCTACAAAGAGCAGGAGAAGGAGAAGCACCATGTGCACTTGGTGATGTACCGCCGTCTGGCGCTGCTCCAGTGGATCCGGGGCCTGCAGCACCAGTTGGTTGACCAGCAGGCCCGTCTGCAGGATAGCTTTGATACCATCCTGGATAACCGGAAGGAGCTTATCCGCTATCTCCAGCAGAGGGCAGCACCATCCAGGCCCCAGGATCAGGGCTGAGTGTGTTTCTACCAGTGTGCAGTGGTGTACCTGTGTCTCTGCAGGTGTGTGTGGTTGTGCACGAATATGTACACGATTATTTGTTGGCAGGAGTTCAGATATGCATGACTGTGTTTGTGCTAACATTTAAGCAGATATGTGCAAACGTGTGAGTGAGCTTATATATCCTGTGTACATGTGTATATGCAAGCTAATTTATACGTGTGAGTGTGTAAGCGTGAACATGTGTATATAGCATGTGTGTAAGCTCCAGTAAATTTGTACATCCATGTATGGATAGGTACCCAGGAATGTGTTTATATGTGTATGAGTGAGGATGTACGTGCAAAAGATGTGTGTTCAAGTGTATGCATATGAGTGTGTGGGTGCAGGCATGGGAAGTGTATGACGGGAGCACGTGTATTTGCAGGCAAACTCAATTGCTCCATTAAGCGTCTGCCTACACCTGTTGTCTATGGTCTGCCCCAGCATTTTTTCCTGCCTTGTATCTCTCTGCTCTCTGGAGAGAGTGCTGTCCTGCTGTCATTTATCTGAGGGTTGTAGCCAATCCATTCTCCAGAGCACCTTTCCTTCTACCTTCCCTTTCCTTATCCCTGTTGTCCCTCTCTGATGTTGGCTTTGCTATAAGTTTTCCTGGCCGCTCTGGCCTGCCGTGGCACTTGGGCTGCAATTTTGTCTGGGAAGTTGATGGAAAACTGGTAACAGAGAGGAAACTGATGCGTGGTGGTGGAGATCGTGGCAGGGTGGGTGTGGGGACAGAGGTGGAGTTAAGACACTGTCCTCTGGAATTCTGTCTTTGGTGGCATGGGAGGTGAGGATGGGGGAGATAAAAATTGCAGAAGCCTGTGAAAAATAGGAGGGTGGAAATTCCAAAATACCAGTTCCCAAATAAACCACATCTCTCAGTTGGGAAAAGTTGTTGAAAACCATATTAATTTAAACTTCCGTTGAAAAGGGACGTGTACTTGAAAGTAAGAGACGGTTTTGAGGCTATTGGGGGAAACTCCCTTTCCTCTCTGGGTGCCTACTTTGCTGCTCCTCGGGCTTTGACAATGCTGGGTGTCCTCTTGGTTTGGTCCATTTTCTGCAAGTGAACTTTGAGGAGGAACTAGAACTCAGTTTCCTGGGTGGACAGGGAGCAATGTCAGCCCGACCTCTAGAAGCTCTTAGGCTGCTCTTCTGCCATTGCATGGCCCTTTAAACAAACGGACAGCACTGCCCAGAGTTTTACAGCAGATGTGTCTCAAGGAGAAAATACAATGGAGGTAGCAGCTCCTAGGAGCCAAGAGAATGCAAGATCCTGGTGGGTGGGCAGTGCATGAAGCAGGAATGCTGTCCGGTGAATGAATGGTGGCATGGAAGTCACTGATGCTGCCTCTGGGGCTCAGGCTCCTCGTCTGTAACATGTGGGGCCTCTTCTCCATCTCTAAAGAGTTCCATCCATGCTGGGTGGGTGGGTGCAAGGGTTAGGGAGTGGAGGAAGCTGGAGCCCTGGGGCTTCTGTGTACAGCTCTTGCATGATGAATGTGAGCCTGGCCTCCGGAACAAGGTGGGATGAATAAACTGCGGCAGAAAATTAAAGTCCTGAGTATGCATTTCTATTTCTCCTGTTGTCTTCGGACCTCCTGCACTTTGTTTGAATTCCCCTTTTGAGCAGCGTCCTGGGCTGGGGACCAAGGAGTGGAACCGAGTAAAACACCGGGGAAGAGGAATTCAGACTCCTGTGTCTGGCAATCTCAGGAGCCTCCCTGTCAAGAAAGGGGAGACTTGCTCTCTGCCCTGAGAGCCCCACGTGGGATTGTCCTTGTCCTAAATCACCTTTGGACCTGAATGTGTTCTGAGGGACACAGACTATATACATGCTCACAAACTAGGCTCTGCTCTGGGGTTAGCAGTGCCCTGACTGGTGTCCTGACTACAAAAGACTGTGTGAGGGTCCTTAAATGGTGCTGACGTTTTATTTGCAGCTCTGGAACTGAACCCAGGGCATTGCACATGCTAGGCAAATGCTCTACCTTGAGGGACAGCCCTAGTCCCCAAATGTAGTTATAATATATGTACATGATTTCACATATTTGTTGCTGCCAATTTATGTTTTCTAATTTACTAATTTCTCCTAAATTCAGAGGCTGGGGATGGTAGAGCAGTGGTATAGCACTTGCTTAGCATAGGCAAGGCCCTGGATTCAATTCCCAGGGAGAAAAAAGTTACTTTTTTTTTTTTTCTGTGCTGGAAAAGCTTCCAAATCTGAAATTTCATGAGTCTAGAGCTCAAGCCTCCAGCTGTCCTGGGTCCAACCCTCACCATACCTAACCTAGCCTCCCTTCCCCTTCCCAAATTGTATTATTTTCATTAGTCATCCACCGATGTGCAACAAATTAAACTGTAGTGGTTTAAGTCCATACACATTTGTGATCTTACCATTTCTGTATGTCAGGAATCTGTGCTTAGCTTAGCCTGGTCCTGTGTCACAGTCTCTGCCCAGGTGTTTTGATCAAGACCCTAGGGTCTGTGGCCTCATTTGCTGGTAGCCGTGAGTTCTCAGGCTCAGGTCCTTCCATGGGGCCCTTCCAACATGCAGCTTGTTTTATCAAAGTATGCAGGCCAAAAAGGCAAAGTGCTAGCAAGACAGAAGGCTCACTTTTCTGCAACCTACCTGCAAAAACGCCATCTGCTCAACGTTGCCATAATCTATAGCTTGAAGCAAGTCACTTGAATAGGGGATATTACTTGATATCAGAGTGATACCAGATTAATACCACTGTAAATACCAGAAGATGGGGATCATTGAGGGCCATCTTAGAGGCTGCCCTACCACAAAAGGTATATTGTGATGTTTTAAATAAAAACACTTGATTGATTGATTATATATAATTCTACTCATAAAAATTGAAACATTTCAAGGAAACAATATTTCTATTTGCCCTCTGCAATAAAGCATTTATTTTAAACTTCATGAAATATACTTCTCATTGAAATAGTAACCCAGGACATTAATAATTCTTGCCATCTCTATAGTTGGTACATACATAGAAACAATATTGAACCAATTTTAACAAATTCCACTTATTTCTGGATGTGGTGGCACACAGCTGTAATTCCAGCACTTGAGAGGCTGAGGCAGGAGGATTGCCATGAGTTCGAGGCTAGTTTATGTTACACAGTGAGTTCAAGACCAGCCTGAACTAATAGACCCCCATCTCAAAAAACCAATCAAATAAAATACAACGAAACAAAAATATACCAACAAACATCATCAACAACAACAACAACAAAAACCCAATGGGTTTTAAAGCAGAGCTGCCTAGGGCTGGGGATGTAGGTCAGTGGTAGAGTGTTTGCCTAGCATATAGGGGGCCTTGGTTCAATTTCCAGTACTGAGAAAAAAAAAACTTGTAAAGCTACCTAATATTCCTTTCCATAAAAGAGCTTCCTGAGCTGAGAAAAAGACGAAGGACAGACTAAGAAAACAGCATGGTGCGTTGTATATTTACAGAATCATTGCCGGTCATGAATCGGGCCCTAGGGTGGAGGTGGGTTGGAAAGGAGACTGGCAAGATTAGACAGTGAGAGCCACAGCTAGGACAGCAGAGTTTTGGGGTAGGGAAACCGAAGCAGGGCCCCAGTGGCTGAGTCAACCAGCCCAGATTTGCAGTTCTTCATCAGATTCACTGGCCACTGACTGAGATGGGCTAAGGCTACTGCTGCACCTCCTAGACATAGTTCCCCACCTGTGGCAGTTTTGAGGTCCCAAAGAGCAAACAGACCTAAAGATGCTCTGTCTGTATTAAAAAGACTGAGCCCCTCCTCTGTGAAAGACCTTGTGGCACCTGCTCTTGTCCGTGTAGCTCTGGTCTGCACAGGCAGATGAGACTTGTATCCAAAAGCCTAATGCACAAGGGCCTAGGAGCCTAGCGGAGGAGAAGTCACCATTCTGTGCTGGTCACAGCCCGGAAGCTATTATCTGAAGTTTGTTTCGAAGTCATCCAGGTGGGAATTTCTGAGTCCCCAGGACAGTGCAGGGAGAAGGGAGGATTCAGGTACTTGGGAGAGGTTTGGCCGGTTAGCCACCACCATCCCTTTAACCCCTCCAACCAGAATGAAATCCTACTTCTGGGAGCAAGGAAGGCTGACCAAGGTTTTTGAGGTCTTGCTTAGGAGGAATGAGGGCTGAGATCAGCTGAGATGTGCAGACCAATAGAGGAAGCAAACATAACAGAGGTCTGAGCAGGCCACAGGCACAGGAACCAGCAAGGAAGTAGTGAAAGACTGGGGATCGTGGGAGAAAGGGGCTAGATTCATTAAGACCTTTCTCTCCAAACATTCCTTCAATCAGGTGGGGGTTGGGGACAATAGGGCTAAAGCCTGCAGTACAGGAATAGTGCAAAGAGTAGGGAGGATAAAAACGCTTCAGAATATGATAGATGGGCCGCTCAGCCGCCAGTCTGGCTCGGCAGGAGTCTGTGTCTAAGGAGATCGACTGCCCCCTGGTGGCAGCCTGTGATCTGTCTACCTGTCACTTTCAAACCTTACTTAAATAAAACCCAGTGATAGGTAGGCCTCCTAATCCCAGCAGTCACCGGTGCCAGGAACAGGAGACGACCAGATCTGAGGCCTGGTCAAGCAAGGTTTCCTGGAGGTGGAAGAGCCTAGGAAACCAATAGAACTCGGGGCAACTGAGCATAGTGTCATCTAATGCAGACAACCCAGATGTCTTGGCCCCTGGCCTTACTCCCTGTGACTCACTTTTCTCAACTGTAAAATGGGGCAATAATAGCACTTCTCTCATGGAGTTATGTAAGCATATAGTGAGGGAGCCTATGATGAGGTCTGAGACCTGAGCCAGGCACACAGGAAGCAGCCCAGAAGTGTTAGCTGCTATTATCTGGCCAGGTGAGGGCAGGAAGATCATCAGAGATCAGAGACGCAGCTGAACCGTTGTGTTGTGCGTTAAAAAGCTTGGCTGAAGGACCTCACACCTAGAATCGTGAGTTTACTGAATGCAGGTGGTGAGAGGAACAGAAGGAGATAGGGTTGTTCTGGGACCTGAGCCAGACCTCAAATCCACTCTGGTGCACATGCCCACGCCCAACAGGCACTCACAGACACTCGGGCTCCAGACTCCACACATGTGCGTGCACACAGACCCACACTGTGGCTCACACTCACAAATGCACACTCACAGTTACGCAGCTCCATGCCACCTGTGTCAGAAATAAGTCAGCAGACCGTGTGCTTCTCCACCAAGGCCTGTGGGCTTCCTCAGCCAAACTTTGACCTTGCCCAGACCCTCCCACAGCCCCCAGCCCTGCTCCCCCTGCTCCAACCCTTAGGCTCAGAACCCCTCGATCGGATGCTCCCGCCATTGCCATTCATCACCAGTAGATTTGAGGAGAGATTCGTCTGCCTGAGCGACTGGCAAGCTGGGGGACGCGTTGGAGGGGGTAGGGAGGAGAAGGGGGTGCTCCGTTCTAAGGAGCCCTCGTGTCATGGCCTGGGGAGGGCCTGGTCCCCGGGGCGCCCGCA